GGCATCGCTCCAGGAGGCTTTTTTGTGCGTCTGGACAAGGTACACGTACCACAGAAAATTCGTGCACGTAGGTGAAACGTGCGGCGGGGGCTGCTTCGTTAAAAGTAACTTCCTTCTGCCAGCAGGTGGCGCTATGACTGTGGGTGAATGTCAGCATGTACATGTGTTCAAGGCGGGACTCACATCCTACATGTACAGTTTGGTGCAGATGTGAGCATGTACACTGAAGTTACGACAACTTCCTGTGTCATGGCGAAGACTTGATCTTTGACGCCACGCCACGGTCACGCCCATTGACGAAAACTTGCAAATAGCACAACTTTTCATCTTCAATGCCTTTTGAAGGCACAGCACAAATTTGAGGTCGGTCGGACTAAATCCCTAGGAGGAGTTCGTTAAAGTACGAAGTGTGTAAATCATCCAAAATTTGACGTAAAATTCAAAATGGCTGACTTCCTGTTGGGTTTAGGCTATGGCTCCAAGAGACTTTTTTGTGCGTCTGGACACGATACACGTACCACAGAAAATTCGTGCACGTAGGTGAAACGTGCGGCGGGGGCTGCTTCGTTAAAAGTCACTTCCTGTTGCCAGCAGGTGGCGCTAAGACTGTGGGTGAATGTCGGCATGTACATGTGTTCAGGGCGGGACTCTCATCCTACATGTACACTTTGGTCCAGATGTGAGCATGTACACTGAAGTTACAACAACTTCTGTGTCATGGCGAAGAGTTGATCTTTGACGCCACGCCACGGACACGCCCATTGACGAAAACTCGCAAATAGCACAACTTTTCATCTTCAATGCCTTTAGAAGGCACAGCACAAATTTGAAGTCAGTCGGACTAAATCCCTAGGAGGAGGAGTTAAAGTACGAAGTGTGTAAATCATCCAAAATTTGACGTAAAATTCAAAATGGCCGACTTCCTATTGGGTTTAGGCTATGGCTCCAAGAGACTTTTTTGTGCGTCTGGACAAGATACACGTACCACAGAAAATTCGTGCACGTAGGTGAAACGTGCAACGGGGGCTGCTTCGTTAAAGGTCACTTTCTGTTGCCAGCAGGTGGCGCTATGACTGTGGGTGAATGTCGGCATGTACATGTGTTCAGGGTGGGACTCTCATCCTAGATGTACAGTTTGGTCCAGATGTGAGCATGTACACTGAAGTTACAACAACTTCCTGTTTCATAGCGAATCATCAACGCCACGGACACGCCCATTGACGAAAACTCGCAAATAGCACAACTTTTCATCGTCAATGCCTTTAGAAGGCACAGCAGAAATTTGACGTCGATCCGACTAAATCCCTAGGAGGAGTTCGTTAAAGTACGAAGTGTGTAAATCATCCAAAAATGGCCGTAAAATTCAAAATGGCCGACTTCCTGTTGACTTTAGGCTATGGGTTCTTGAGGCTTTTTTGTGCGTCTTGATATGATACATGTCCCCAGAACATTTCGTAGATGTAGGTTGAACGTGAACGAGGGGCTAATTTTTTCCAATTTTCTAGGTGGCGCTAGCGAGTCATTTTGCAACGCCCATGTGCGAAACTTGTAGAATACGAAATTTTTCACCGGTTCTGACATGTTTGCAAATTTTGGTGAGTTTTCGAGTATGTTTAGGCCATGTCAGTTGGGCCTACTTTGCAGAAGAAAAAAAAAAAAGAAAAAAAAATACATAATCCGAGCAAATTCAATAGGGACCTCACACGGTCGTGCTCGGGCCCTAAAAAAAAAAAAAATATATATATATATAATCCGAGCAAATTCAATAGGGACCTCACACGGTCGTGCTCGGGCCCTAAAAATATAATCCGAGCAAATTCAATAGGGACCTCACACGGTCGTGCTCGGGCCCTAAAAATAAAAAAATAATCCGAGCAAATTCAATAGGGACCTCACACGGTCGTGCTCGGGCCCTAAAAAAAATAAAATAATCCGAGCAAATTCAATAGGGACCTCGCACGGTCGTGCTCGGGCCCTAAAAATATATATATAATCTTAGCAAATTCAATAGGGACCTCACACGGTCGTGCTCGGGCCCTAAAAAAATAATCCGAGCAAATTCAATAGGGACCTCGCACGGTCGTGCTCGGGCCCTAATAATCTTAGCAAATTCAATAGGGACCTCACACGGTCGTGCTCGGGCCCTAAATATATATATATAATCTGAGCAAATTCAATAGGGACCTCGCACGGTCGTGTTCGGGCCCTAAAAATATAATCTTAGCAAATTCAATAGGGACCTCACACGGTCGTGCTCGGGCCCTAATAATCTTAGCAAATTCAATAGGGACCTCACACGGTCGTGCTCGGGCCCTAAAAAAAAATATATATATATATATATCTTAGCAAATTCAATAGGGACCTCACACGGTCGTGCTCGGGCCCTAAAAAAAAAAAAAAAATCTTAGCAAATTCAATAGGGACCTCATACGGTCGTGCTCGGGCCCTAATAATATACATGCATTGAAACTAAAATTGCTTCAGAAAATAGCTTCCATTTAAAAACTTCTGTGACTGTTGCTACAGAATGAATTGAAATGTCCATGCAGTGAAAGGATGTTTCTCCATCTGAATCATCCTTTTGTACTTTTATAATTATAACAAGCCTTTTATGAATCAACATGTTTTAAGATTTGGATTTAAAATCCGGATCCGTACCGTGAAAGGACAGTGTGGTCAATCGCTGCAGGAGGCGAGGCACCAGTAAAATAACTGCAACCAGCTCGGGTGATCTAACAGACGGGATGTGGTCAGGTGAATGAAATAGGGTGAGCTCACATGTTAAGTGGTTTGAGTCTGAGTCATAGTGGAAGGCAGACTGTGGCTGGTGTGTGACAAGAGTCCTAATTGAAACATGTCCGTCAGCGCGTGCAGCTCTGCAGCTGTAATCCCGGAGCCACACGCTGAGCCAGGCTCTCAGCGGCCCCAGCATCTGACAGCAGCGGGATGTGCTCGATGGAGCAACGCTGCAGCAGGGGTCTGACCCAGATTACATCTACTGTTGACAGCACAGACAGGACAGGGATGGCACCAACAGCCTCAGGCTGGATTACTATTACTACTGTTATTAAGTAGATGTAGAAGTGAAAGCAGCCTACTCAGTAGGGGAGAGTGGGGTGAGTTGAGCCAGTTTTTACTTGAGATGTCTTTAAAGTGAGGACATGACAGTAATGTCTCCAACTAAAATATGTACATATATTTTAGGATGTGGTGCATCACTGGGAATGATCAATTTGGATCTAAAATAAACTGTTTTCAAAATATGGCGTTCCAAAAAAAAGTGGATTCTTGGCTCAACTTACCCCATGGGCAAGTCGGGGACATTATGTCATTTAATCGTGCAAACTCAAACGCCAGTTCACAACATTTAATTGCACTTAGATAGTTAAAAATTGCAGCTATGTCTCCTAGTTGTTTCATATCAATGTATTGCTTTGAAGTCATCCTGTTGATCGTCATGTCCGGTGCCACCTGATGTAAGGACTTCCCATTTGTGCACCTCTCCCACTACTCTGTCCAAATCTGCAAGAGGACTTAAAGCCTGTCTGTGTTCCATTCATAGAAGCATGACATGATAATTTCTGGTCTAAAATGCATAATGTCACATTATTTTGGTGATGCATAAGAATGCAATGTAAAATTACAGTAAATTAGCTGGTTCAACTTCCCCCCAGGTCTTTTGTCTCAAATTACCCCATCCCTGCCATTTTAACAAACTTGTGTCATCCAGCAGTTTAAGGGTAACGTCAGGGTAGCAGTATAGCCTCATACATAACTTCCCTCAGCATTAACACATGCGTAAGATTTTTTCAAACCTGACACAAGAAGTACAACTCCTTGAACATAAATAAAATCACTTGGAATGGCAAAAAATGTTTTTTGATCATAAATGTGCTTATCACTTATTCCATAGGCCCCTCTCCACCACAGGGTGAGTAAAATGGATTGTTCTTCAAAAATACGTGGTCACATGACCAATTTTGTCTATGGTTGCCAAGAAAAAAAGGGTGGACTGCACTTTTGAGGTACTTCCCCTTTCTGTTTGCTGTCTAACATGCAGCAGGAATGTTCTGGAAGTCTCTGGGGAACCCATTAAGATATGTACCTACATTACATTTATTCATTTAGCGGACGCTTTTATCCAAAGTGACTTAAAATTGCTATGTATGTCAGAAGTCGCACACCTCTGGAGAAACTAGGGGTTAAGCGTCCTACTCAGGAACACATTGGTGATGTCACAATGGGGAATTGAACCCAGGTCTCTCACGCCAAAGGCTTACCCACTGTACCATCACCACCCTATTTCCACTCATTGTGTATGTGTTTCAAATCTGACAATAACGCAGTTATTTTCACACCTCGGATAATATCCAGAAACTAGACCACAGTTCTGTCAGCTGATAACATGTTAGATACATATTCATTTCTTTGCTGCAGTCATCAAATGTGCGAATGAGCAAAGCAGGAGGCCGCAGGTTTCTTTGGGCAAGATACTGCGACTGTGTGAGTGTTTATTTCTGCCATTAGTGTGTAAATGTGACATGTAGAGAGAGGAGGACAGTTTCACCTGCTTAATAACGTACTGCTCTTTAAAATCAAAACGTTAATTAAGCTATATCTGAATATTTTGAGATCGTCATATTTATTTTACCTAAAATTCTGTTCACTGTGTTTATTGGGTGAGAAAGCGCTGCTGTGCTCCCAGAGGAATCCCCACTTTGGTTCTGAATTAAAGGCATTTGAAGGCAGCTGCAGAGAAACCACATAGGCTACAGGTTTACAGTGCAGGGGAACTTTAGATCAGAGAGCACAGACTTCTGTTCATCCACAAATCAAGTTAGCTTTAGTCTGTGGCCAGGCTGTAGGTCATCTTTATGCACTGACAAACCTACTGCAGATGGACAGACTGTGACACCGTCCCTGCTGTAGATCATATCAACACTCTGACAGGCTGATGGACTGATGATAATGTTTGCTCCTAGGTGCACACTTTGCGTTACCTGGTTGTTTTTGCACAGATCAGCCCACATGCTGGTACCATCCCCTCCGCGCATCAGGACGTGGTAGGTGAAGAAATAAATCCCGGGGATGGAGCAGGTGAACTTCCCGCTAGTCGGGTCGTAGTGGTTTCCTAGGTTGGTCACCACGTCGTCGAACTTGAGCACCTCGTAGCCCTCGTGTTGCTTTTTCAGCCCTGCGTAAAAGGCGATCTTGGGCACGGTGCTGTAGGTGGCCGCGCTTATTGCACCGGCAGCTGCGCTGGGTCCCGGAGGTCCTGGTAAACCGGGTCTGCCCGGTTCACCTTTCTCTCCAGGTGGCCCCGCCGGACCGTGCGGTCCCGGCTCACCGGGAGGTCCCCTCGGACCTGCCTTACCTGGGCGTCCTGGTTCCCCTTTCGGACCTTGGATAAAAGTTGGTAAAGACTGCACGAGGCTGTTGTCTCGGACCGTGTCCGCCGTGGCGGTGCTGGTCGGAGATTTGGTGCCGTACGGGTCGCACACCATCCTACAGGTGCCAAGCATCTCGTAGTGCGCCGCCGTCCCCGCTGAGTTGACCAGAACCGGGATAAGGATGACCAAAACCAGAACCATAATGACTCCCAGGACCCCCGCCGCCACCAGCCGCTTCCTGCCGACCAGCCGCGTCAGCGCAGGACGATCCTGTTGTCTGCTTTTGGGTGGAATTTTGCTGGCTGGAGAGGAACCCTTTAAAGAAAAGATGTAGCGGAGCTACACTTTGTTGACGATGTTAATGAACTTTGGAAAGCAGACCCCCTCCCCTCGACTCCCCGTCACTCTCCTCTCCGCACTTTTCCTGTTGATGTGCTGCTTCTTCAAGTCTCTCAAAGTTCAGCCCGTCGCTGTTCCGTGATTTCCAAAAGCATCTCTGACAGGCTCCCAAATCCAGACATAAGGTCCGGCCCTTCTATCATCCACAGGTCTTGAACCAAAGTAGCCTATGCGTAGCCCACAGCAGCTCAACACTTAAGGTGGATCAGGATCAGTTGGAGCGTCTGCCTCCACAGAGCCTCACAGATAAAAAAAAAAAAAAGGGCAGACACACAGTGGGGTGGGGTGTGGGGGTGTGTGGATGTGTGTGTGTGGGGGTGTGTGTATGTGTGTGTGTGTGTGTGTGGGGGGGGGTCTGAAGCCTTGCCGTCCAATAGAAACAGGGCAGCTTACTTAAATACTGGATCTGGATGGGTTAGATAACACTTTTAAGAATCTGATCGTTTATCAAACCCCCCCTCTCATCTGTGACGGTCTGTGAAGATATTACCTAGACTCAGATGGAAAGTTACCGAAAGCTGAAATGGCTGTTTCTCTGCTACAGTTCCCAGAAACTGACCTGGGTCCTGTCCAGTTCTGTAACATGATGGATGCTATAAATATGTAAGAAAGGGACTTGTTGTACTCGGGAGTCAATCTAGACGAAGACAGTTACTGAAATACATGCAGAGAAATCAGCCTCAGTTCATACTGTGTCTGAGGAAGCAGGAGGCTAAAAGGAAAAAGAAAGAAAAAGTGAACAAAGCAGATAAAAATACCTCTCACCCTTTATTTCATTTGCTTATGACTTCAGGGTGTGTTTCATATGAATCTTTCTCTCATTTTAAACATGACTTACAATTTAATTCAATGATATAGATTGAATTAACTTTATATTCATTTAATATTGAGACAGTAGAGGTTCAGTGATCAGAGCTCTCCTGTCTGCTGTGGGTTCTGTACAAGACCTGATAGGAAGGTTACTAGCAGTGGTGGAAGAAGTATTCAGATCCTTTACTTAAGTAAAAGTATTTATACCTCACTCTAAAAATACTCAGCTACAAGTAAAAGTAGTGCATTGAAAATATTACTTAATTAAAAGTATGAGAATAATCAGGAAAATTAAGTATTAAATATTAAGTATTAAGTATTAGTAATCTTCCATCTTCATCCGCTTATCTGGGGTCGGGTCGCAGGGGCAGCAGCTCCAGCAGGGGACCCCAAACTTCTTCAATCAATCTTCATCAAAATAGTTGCCAACTAAATTTCTGTCAATCAAATAATGTTCCAGCTGTACTTGTAGAAACTTTTGGGAAGTTTAATTTATAACAAAACAAATTCTTTCAACTATTAATTTGTTTTGTGTGTAAAAATCTTCCTTTGTAAAGTACTTAATTACTGTCCACCACCGGTAACAATATTGATACGGACAATTCAGCGGTGTCTTGACATCGTCAGGACATGTCCCTACCGTCCATATGAAACCTGCGAAAGTCATTTGTCTTCAGGAGACAGGGCAGGGACGGTGTATTGATGCCAGAAAAATCTAACTAAGCTCGTCTTCTCTGGCTTCATTAGGCCTCCAAACGTCCGCTTATCCAGAGTCCCTGAAAATGAGCTGTGAAGGTATCGGAAGATCATTGGATTGGCACTTCACTCAATATCAGCACGGTGAATGATGAATTACTGTTGAGGGTTTGGAGGTGAGGCAATGAATAATAAGAACAATAATAATCATAAACTTTATGTATAAAGCACAGACAAATGTTTCAAAGGGCTTCATAAGGCAATAAAGCAAGATGAAGGTAAAGCACTCAAAATAAACCATTAAAACCGAGGTAAAAATAAATATGTATATGCAAGTAATACACACACACAGGCACATATATGTCCACATCCCATCCAACACACACATCATACAGGGATAAAAGAAACCTTCTCTTTTTTTCCTTTTGAAATGTTACAGATGAACAGAGTAATTTCTTGGTTTGTGCTGAGATCTTTAGGACTAAAGGACTTCCGCAAAGGATACACCGATGTATCCTCGCTTATAGCTCCTCCAGCAAGCCTCCTCGATCCTCACTCCTCGATGTGCATTTTAAGAATTGAGATGTCCTTCAAGATGGCGTGCTGAGATCGATTTCCGGGTCACACGCTCGAGGATCGAGGCATCGAGGAGTCAAGGTGACAGAAATTTGGGAAATGAGAAAGGCCCTAGATGTCTCAGCAGATAACAACAAATCATGTAATTAGTGCTATTTATTATTAGATTTACTAATGTAACTGAATGTGTGGTATATTATAAAGAACTTACAGAACAGTATGTCACATTTGCAGGTGGAGGCTTTCTGCCACCTGAACTCCCATCACGCTGAGGAGGACCATCTGGAACTCAGCACTCAGGGAATTGAAGCCAGCTCTCATCCATCTGCAGTCAGACCTCACATGTCAAAACATCTGACCTTTGACACTGCAGAGAAGGTGGAGGGTAGATAAGCTGTCCGAGGACACGTCACTATCAAATCTATTGTGTTCATGGTGTGTGACACAAAGTCTAGACACACACTTGAACTCACGTCTGTCCGTTGGTACGTCTTAATTATTGTGATTTCTTTTCTATGCATCCGTTTTCATTTTACTTTATTCTTTCACTCAGTCTGGACCTGGGTGAACACGCCATCTCTACGCTGGCATTGGTCTTCTGATAGGGGCTGACTATTCACCAAAGCACATTTAAGAAGACATGGTTTTAGCAGCTGTTCATGAGGGTCAGGCGTTTTGAGACGTGGCAAGCCTGTCCAGCATCTAAACATCCAACAGCTGCTGCATCGCCATGCCTCAAATCTGGTGGTAAAGTGAAGGAGACATCTGTGTTATTACAGAATGGGTCTGTTGTTTCTGGCTTCCTGTTCAGCATTGACAACCTGTCCTCACAGTCGTTGTTACAACCTGTGTGATCATCAGACTGCTCTGGAGTTGGAGTGTTCCCACACCTCAGCAGTTAACTTGGTAAGAACAAAATGATGAGAGACTGTAAGACGAGACCTACGTTAATACTGACTTTTTCAAGCATCACGTTACATTTGTATCATCGCTGTAACGAGCCTCACACAGTCTTCAAATTCTGAAAATATAACTTCCAGAAAAATGACTAGGAGAACATGTGAATGTCAGACCAGATGTGTCATGAAGTAAAGCAGCAGATGTATCCTGTGCTGGATGGGGGCTTGCTTTTCTGCCCTGTGTCACTACCCTCATTAAAGTGGCACAGTGCAGCCCCCCTTAGACAATCAAGCCTGCCCTAACACACACGCCACCTATAAATCACCTGCTGAAAATCAATGGGCTTTAGTTAGCCTGGGACTCATTGTGTCCTTGGAAAGGTGTGAGATGAATTGAGAACAAAACAGCAACAACATCCACCCAAAGGGACGGAGAAAAAAAAAAAAAACAAGAGAGTGGAGCAGTGGCTGTAGCTGGACTGAGCTTTCGGGTGAAGGTGATGGTTGACTCATCTTTACTTTCTGACCAACATTCAGTTATTGTAATGCAGCTTCCACGGCGCTGCCTACGTTTCAGCCAGCGCTGCACCTTTCTAACAGAGGCAGGCTGCCATTACTTTAGATTCTGGCTAAGATGGATAGAGGTCTTAAACAAAGGCTACCATACTGAATCTTCTGCCCTCTGCATCAGCACCACTTTCCTGAATATTCCCACTCTGCTGATTAAACTGGAAAAAGTAGCCTCGTGCCCCATCTTTAATAAGCAACATAAAAACCTGGTCTCCACCTGTGTGCTGCTCTCAGTGCTATACCATGTAGCAGGTCAGGGAAATGAGCTGCAAGAGGAACTACAAGCTGTTTAAAATGTTTCATCCTTTAATTCTGTATTGTAATGTCACGGTTAGTCTCTACTAGTCAAATCAGTGCTGATGTTTAAATTTTCATAATAACCCAACATAAATGATAAAGAAAGCATAACCTCCACAGGCCCCAGTGTGATTACCAGCCTTCTGGATTCATTGAGAGTTGCAGTTTTTGTCCTGCAGTTTGTTTTCGCAGGATGAATGTCTGGTTCTTCGATGTAGCCATGCTTTCCTCTACAGAGGGTCAAACAGCCATATTTCCAGGCATGACGGTGCAGTGCTTTGGAGGCTTAGAGTTGATGAAAAGTACTCAGCATGACAGACAGTGAAAATAAGTTCAAACTCATAATGGAGAATACTTCAAACATGACTTGACAATTTGAATGTATATGATCAGAAATGAGCTATACCAGAGAAGACAAGTGATTGTTTTATTTGAAACGTTAAATACAGAGAGACTGTAATAAAAGCACGATGATTAAAAAATGATTACATTCATTCCTTTTTGCAACAGGCTGAAATGTGATGGACACTTGGTAAAACTTTGATTAGTAAAGAGAACGTGGAAGTGAAGGTGCAGCGAGTCAGCTGTCAGAGGTCAGTGGGAGAGTGAAAAGAAACCACATGTAGATGAGCTGCAAATGTCTTTTTAGCATGTTTGATAAAAAATAACTCCATATTACACAATATTATAAAGATGATGCTACTGAGGGGAATGTGACACAGCTGCATCGCGTGAACTTCCGGGGTTAGTCTGGGGGGCTGGATACTGGCTGAATTATCATTAAATGGCAAAGTGGGGCAGCAACAGAGCCGTGAGACGCTGTCTATCTTAACTCTTTCACATCTGTGAGAAGAGTCTTTCCAGAGAAAGCTGGACCCTTGTGTTCAGTTTCACTTCATACTGACGTCTTCTAAGGCCACCAGCATACACAACGCCCGGGTTTTAGTTTCTCAGGATGACATTATATTAAATACTGATAAGTGACCTCTGATATGGATGTTGTGCAGGTGTTACCAATAGTTACCTCTGGTCAGGCACTGTCAGCTAAAACACACACATTCATCTGGACTTAGTCCATAGTTCACTTAGTCCAAACAATGTTTAACACCATGCCTTTAGAAACGTAATACAATAAAAAAAAGACAGAGGGAAAGAGGCACATGCAGTGAGTTTGCTGGCAGCGAGCGTCCTCTCTGGCCTCAGGCTTCTGTTCACTTGTTCTTGGCGGCCAGTGGTTTGCGGCTGATCTTCTTGCTCTTATCATTGCTCTTCTTCGGAGGTTCTGGGTTGGCCTGCATGTGTCTGCCATAGAGACTGAGGAGGAGAGGGAGGGGGGGGGGAAGGAAATATAACAAGAATATGAATATCCAGAATGGATGGAATAGGGTCAGTAGGTTATAGTCTATGATCTAGT